GGTAATGAGGGACTACGCTACAATGGAATGAGAAGTGCGCGTATCTGATTTCAAGTAACCATAATACGCCAGTGTATACATGAAGTTTTTGAGAGTACTATTTTGATTTACACAAGATAAATGCTGGGATCGGCCACAATTATATTTAATAGTACTAGTAATAAAGATGCAACTCTGACGTTTGTTTTGTCTTGAGTGTTTTCATTCGTCGGAGTCTGTAAACAACGCTCAGTGACAACGAGTTGTTGCACACACTTGCATGAAGTGAAAGTGTGTACACGCGCAAGAATGACGTTTTATTAATGAAATCATGGAGGTATAAACATATACCTTCATGATGAAATGTACATTCCCATTTCCTTTTGGTTGTGTCCTTGAATGGATGAAACAAAGAAATATGTCGATGATTATATTCCCCAAAGATTCACTGAATTTTTAGCACCTCCAAAAATTGTTTTTTTCCAGGGAAAATTGTACTCATCACTTGGCTCATCATGGAAGAACAAACTCATTCAGAAAAAATAGTTCTCTTACCAGTAAATGCTGACAGTTTTCACCAAAGAAACAGACCTTTCCTAGTAAACAAGCATTGTTGAGAACAAAGAAAAAAATAAACATGTTTACTATTGTTTAGAAAAATAAGTGTACTTACGCTTACAAAGAAAGTAGTACTTACTTTTGAGTACTTTCCCAGTAAATGCTGAATAATGTGTCAAATAAAAACAAAAATAAGCAATTTTGGACAACACACAAAGAGTAGTATAAACACATTTATTTTGCAACTTTACTTTTTGGATATGGTCAATGAACCTAGTCAAGTGCAGACATAACATTACACTCTTCATCCCAGAGTTCTTAGCGGAGGCAGGCTAACACCTCTGTCACACATGACTTTTCACGCTATGATTTGCCACATATCAATACGCAAGTGTTTTTCAGTTATTCAAGATGGCAGCCCAAACCCAGTTGGCAAGGAAACTATTAAATCATTCTCTTCCCATACACTTTCCATAACTTCCATCTGCTTTGGTTTCAATTCTACGTCTGGATTGTATTCATTCAGAATATGTTTTAAAGTTCCCGCAAACTCCACCATATTTAAATATAGTTCGGGTTTGACCCAACCAATGACCCTTGATTTGCGTAAATGCATAATTCAAGCTGTGGAAGAAGTGCCATCTTGCGCGGAGAGTGATAAGATTAGTATCAGTGAGGAGAAGCTCATCTGCATATATTCAATTTATATTTCAGATTCAATATAAAATAATTGATCTAGGCTATGCTAAGGCTTTAGATGATGGTAGCGTCTGTTCTTCATTTGTGGGCACATTGCAGTACCTGGTAAGAATATTCAATATGTATTACAAACACCAAGAAAGCGTTTGGTCAGAGTCAAGTAAATTGCACAAGGGCACTAGCTGTACTGTGTAAATACATTTGTAAATACAATCAACATCTTCTATGCAAGTGCATAATGTGTTATCTTGTCATATTTACTGTTAATGAAATGTTATATTTTGCAGGGTAGGAAAATAATCCTACACAACACAAAACTGTGTTTTACCAATTTTTGAGTGATTAGATCAAATATGGCCAACTGGCGACCATTTCGTCATAACAATTTGTATCCTGTCGCAAATATACAGTGATAATAAAGATAATAAAGAAAACATTGGTCTATTAGCAAAATTGAGACTAAGTGCTCATAAACTAAACATCGAGATGGGAAGGCACAAAAGACCAAAAATAAAAACAGAAGACAGAAAATGTACTAAATGCAACCTACTTGAGGATGAAATTCATTACATCACAAAATGTGAACTTTACACAGATGAAAGAGAGTTGTTATATTCACATTTTTCAAAGAAAATTAACAATTTTCAACACTGTACAAACAAAGAAAAATTCATTCATATATTGAATACAAACAACAAATATTTACTAACAGAGCTTATCAAATTTATAAAAACAGCAAATACCATTAGAGAAAACCACCTAATGGGTCATTAATATTTTTTTTTTTTACATTATTTCATGTAACTGTATTGTAGTAGATTTTAGATATCTAACTTGTTATGTTTATTTTAACACCTTTATTGCATTTCATAAACCAAAATAGATATGTAATTCATTCTATAAGGTTGTAATAAAGAATTATCTTATCTTATCTTATCTTATCTTATCTTACAGTGATTTCAATCAAAGGTGACACACATATGTGTACATAGACATGTATATAATTTAAAATTAAGTACTAATGCATAGCAAAATGAAAATAAAAATTGTAATTTTTGACGAATATTAGACTTTTGTGTCTCATAAAATGGTTCATTAACCCAACATTTTTATCATTTTTGGGCTAAGACCCATATTGTTAAATGTATGAGAAAAATTCAATTTCTAATTCAAACTTACTTCACCAACTGAAAATGGCATTAATTTTATAGCTCAGTGACTTTTGCTTGTTAAAATTGTCAGAATGTATAACTAATAATTTCTTAAATTGTAATTTTAGGCACCAGAGTTATTTTCCAGCAAAGAATACACAAGAACAGTTGATTATTGGAGTTTTGGAACTGTAGTTTTTGAGTGTATTGTAGGATTTAGACCATTCTTGTCAATGCTTCAGCCAGCAAAGTGGTGAGTAATATTTTGTTTTGTCTTCCATTGTGTAGAACACGCAATGGGAGCTTATGTCATGGCACTGTCTGTGAGTCTGTCTTGCTTCAATTATGAACCATACAATTCATTTGAAATTCTTGGATCAACTAATATAATGAAACAATAGCCGAGAATGTTTTATTTGGACAAACAAACAAGTAAAACTAGAATACTTACAGACATATATTTAACGTTGTGCGATTGCAATAATTCAAGTAAACTTTGATGTACTGAAAAATCCATGATGAAGTTAATAAGTTGGGGTGAAAATTGACATCATCGTTTGCACCACATTGTTCTATTACAAGTTTGATTCCTACCGGGTATTAACAATACAAAATTATTGGATTGTTGGTGAATATGCAAATGAAGACATGAGTTAGTGAATAACGTAGATACTAATAGATAACTAACAGTCGTATGACTCAGCAAGTGTTTTGAATTGATGATATTTCAAAGAAAACCTTAGCGTTGTTGCCATTAGGAAATACGTTAGTGGATTGCGCCCTCTACTGGCTTTTGTTGCATGTTTCTAAAAAAAACTTTTGTTATTACCTCGCTGGCCTTTTTTGTTTGGTTTAGGCATGGCATCGTTAAGAAGAAATCATCTGAGCATATATGTGTATTTTTTGATATGAACGGTGAGTGTACATTTAGCACTATGATTTTTTGCAAAAATGTCTTAAGTAGGGTGATTTATAGTCGTACATGAAATTGTAAACAAATTATGCATGTGTATGTGTATGTAGAAACTATATATAAACTGAACATACACCTCTGCAAACTGAACAAATATATTCTGGCCAGTTCTGATCATTTGCTGTACTTACCGGTATACAACAAATTAAAAAGAAAGCACAAAAGTATTTTTTTTTAAATCAAAAATTGGTTTTAAAAATTACACGTTTTGTCTCACTTTTTGATTAACTAATCACACTGATTCTAATACGTGTAGGGGTGTCCTTTTTGGGTAAAAACATACTTAATCATCCCATTATCTAGCATTAGCATAGAAAACAAAACAACAAATTTAAATATGTCCGTAACTGTTTCTCAATCATGCCAGTTTTATTCAAATTTGGTTTGGACATCACATATTGTAGGTTTCGGTTGCATGTTATTTTGTTTTGTAATTTGACATAATGACTAACTGGTGGCCTTGTTGGGTGGTGTCTTCAAACATTTTTCGAACATGCTTTGATTGATTTTGGTAAATGTACACAATGTAGGTATAAAAGCAAGACATATTAATGTATGTTTGTTGATTTGAACATGTCATTGAATCGTTTTTTTTGGCATGTCTTTATTTAATTTTAACATGTCATTGAATCATTTCTCTGGCATGTCTTTGTCGATTTGAACATGTCATTGAATCGTTTCTTTGGCATGTCTTTGTCGATTTGAACATGTCATTGAATCCTTTTTTTGGCATGTCTTTGTTGATTTGAACATGTCATTGAATCGTTTCTTTGGCATGTCTTTGTTGATTTGAACACATCATTGAATCATTTCTCTGGCATGTCTTTGTTGAATTGAACATGTCATTGAATCGTTTCTTCTCTGGCATGTCTTTGTTGATTTTAACATGTCATTGAATCGTTTCTTTGGCATGTCTTCATTGATTTGAACATGTCATTGAATCGTTTCTTTGGCATATCTTTGTTGATTTGAACATGTCATTGAATCGTTTCTTTGGCATGTCTTCATTGATTTGAACATGTCATTGAATCATTTCTCTGGCATGTCTTTGTTGAATTTAACATGACTTTAATCATTTCTCCTGCATATCTTTGTTGATTATTTCAAGTGATAGTTTTGATGCATGTTAATAGTTTGCTTTGTGATTTGATCCAAAATGGCTGAATAGTTGCTATGTTTGTTGACTATTTCACATATAATATCATATCATACTGAATACTATACATTTAATTATAATTTATCTATAATTTTGTATTTTATTTTTAAGGTCAACCACAATTTTCATCAACGTTACCTAATCCCAATTATTTGTGTCAGTAAGTAAAACATTATCCTTTATTTCATTTTTGTGATTTGAGGATTTTGTTGCAATCAGGAAGACAAAATTTCACTATTCAAATTTGTGGGTTATAGAAAACACAAACTGATTTCACCAGACTAACATTGTGGTGTTTAGTGATGTTATAAGTAAATGGCAAGTAAAATAAAATTTGTACTCTTCCTAGATCTGGTACCAGACAACAGTTCCACTAGTTACTCACTTTACTACTTTGTAGTCTATTAATGCCTAGTTTACCTACTGTGATATTAGTGGATGACTGATTGATTGGTCTCAATAAAACCATTTATTCATTATGTTTTGGCGTTAGACCTTTTAAAGAGAATATCGAGAAGTGGTTAAGATTACTGTTAGAATGGATTCCACGGAAACGAGGAGGAAAGATGGATGAAATCACAAAACAACCTCTAGTATTTTCCAGAATTGACCTTATTCTGCATCAGAAGGTACATGTTCCATCATTTTATAAACAAATGTTATTAACTTATTTACCATCAGACTCTCATCCAAATTTTTCTGCACTTATTTCTGGAATCCTAATTTTGGAGTCAACCCAATTCGATTTGTCAGAATTGAGTATTGAACAACATTATTGAAAATTTGTTTTTGTCAATATTGTATCTTTAAATTTTAAATTTTAGTTTTAAAATTGACACTAAAAATTAACTATCATGATTTTTCATGAAATTTTTTATTTTTTTTATCATTTTTTAACTGATGTGTGCGATGACTACATGTAGAGAAATATTAATATTTAATCTGACACTTACAATATTTATCTGAATGTGTTTTTTTCAGTCATCACACCATATTCATGAAATGTATACAACTCATTAAAAATATTCATAATTCTGTTTTCAAAAAACGATATTTTTAACCTCCAGATTGCACATATTTACTGTATCCATACCAACACTTTGCTCTCGTATGTGGTGTCAGGAAATAAATCAATGCAAAGTTTCCAAGAACAGCTTACCAAAGATACTGGAATACCAATAGAAAAACAAGAGTTACTCTTTCCATCAGGTGCTTCAATCGATCCAAGACAACCTTCCTTGCATTTGGCTTCTCAACAGTTAGACGTATGTATTTTTTCATCTCAGACGCTTTTTTAGTTTTCTTGGTTTTTTATACAATTTGACAATTTTTAGCGCTGAATGTCACTGTTTTCTCCTGATTTGTTTATAGTGCTAACAATATATATTGCATGTTTTGGACTATGTAACAAGGCTCTGTGACCATCTTACTATCATACGAGCATGATAATTATTTAATTTGCTATCCCATAATTGCATGCAGGCATTAACCAAGGTTTTCCCAAATTTGCATTCATGATCTGTTAATGAATATTTCTACACCAGTGACTTTGACATCCTCACTGAATACTGTAAAATCTGTATTAGAAGCTGTGGCTTCTATTAAAATGGTACAATGCAACAGAGGGGATGTGGCTTCTATTAAAATGGTACAATGCAACAGAGGGGATGTGGCTTCTATTAAAATGGTACAATGCAACAGAGGGGATGTGGCTTCTATTAGAGCATCTACACATATGAGAAATTGGTAATGTTTGGTTCTTAATTGCTCAAAAAGAATGGGTGCGACTTATATTAGAGATGCGGCTTCTAATACAGATTTTACGGTATATGTCATACTCCCGGTTTAATGACCCCTGCTCAACCCTAGTAGGATTAACATATTTCAGTACTGATTATTCATGTCATAAGTGAGCTTCATTTCACTAGAGATAAAAATAAAATATAATGTAATACTAAAAAAAATAAAAAATATAATATAAAAAAATACTAGACACGAATAACATTCATCCATAGTCAAAAACTGTTGATTATTCAGATGTATAATGCATCCTTAACGAGTACTTTAATATTATAAGACAACATTCTGAGACATAATCGGCAATATTTGTGAAATATTTTTATTTTGACAGGGTCGAGAAAATATAGTATTTTTATTTGTAAGAAGTGGTGACCAGACAATAAATACAGATATTCATTTACCAGAATTGGTGCAATGTTTAGGTAAGTGGGGACATCATTGGTTTAATTGTCTGGTGTAGTGTTAAATGATGACTTTGTTGTTTGATGGGTAGTGGAAAGTGATGACATTGGTTTGTGTGGTATAGTGTTAAATG